AAGTGATAAGAAGGTGCGTATCTGAACATGAATTTATTCCTATTTTAACCTTCTGTCATAACTATGCATGAGAAGGACATGTTGGACCACAAAGGACAGCTCGTAAGGATTGGAATGTGTTTTTATTGGCCATCGTTGTTCAAGGATGCCTACATATTGTAAGTCATGGATAATTGCCAAAGAGTAGGAAACATTTCTCGTAGAGATCAATGCCACAATTCCTATATTATTGTTTGAAATTTTTGATGTTTGGGGCATTGATTTTATGGGTCTATTTCCTGTTTCCTTGGTAATGTTTATATTATTTTAGTTGTTGATTATGTTTCCAAAGGGTGAGGAGCGAAAGCCACCAGAACTGACACTTAGGTTGTTGCAGATTTTGTTAAAACTAACATTTTTGTCAGGTTTGGGATACCAAGGGTGTAATCAGTGATAAGGGTACTCATTTTTAAATAGGACAAAGAGCCATTGCTTAAGAAATACCCTTCACACACAAGGTCTCCACACCATACCACCCACAAACCAATGGCAAGCGGAGGTGTCAAATAAAGAGATCAAATCAATTTTGGAAAAGAAGTGAACCCAAACAGGAAGGACTGGTCTTGAGATTAGATGATGCATTATGGGCATATAGAATAGAATAAAGCACCTATTGGCATGTCTCCAACAGATTAGTGTTTGGTAAGCGTGTCATCTTCCAATGGAATTAGAGCAGCAGGCCTATTGGGCAATCAAGCATTGCAATATGGAAATGAAGGAAGCCGGCGTTAACAGGAAGTCGCAATTGCAAGAACTTGTGAGGGTTAAGGAATGATGCCTACGAGAGTTCACACATCTACAAAGCAAAGACTAAGGCCTTTCACGACAAGATGTCTCTAGGAAGAATTTTTTTGTTGGACGAAAGTCCTTTTTTCATTCAAGGTTGAAGTTACTTCCAAGTAGTTACGTTCTTGTTGGGTGGGACCTTTTATTTGTGACTAATGGTTTTCATCATGGTGCAGTAGAAATCCAAAGTTTGAAAACAAACAAGGTGTTTAAAGTCAATGGACATAGGCTTAAGCCTTACTATGAAGGGTTCCAAGTTGCAATATTGAGGAGGTGGGATTGGAGGAGTCGATACATGAGTAGTGATGACCATGTAGAGTCGGGCTAACGACTTTAACCAAAGGCGCTGCTGGGAGGCAAACAAGAATTTCGATTTGATTTTCTTTCTTTGAATTTAGTTTTTTTTATTTTATTTTATTTGTTCTCTACATTTGGGTTTACATTGGGGACAATGTAAGTTTTAGTGTGGGGGAGAAGATAGGCTTTAGGTGTGTTTGTTGTGAAACAAAAAAAGGAGTTTTTGTTTTTAGGAAGGTTTATGCTTTAAGTCATGTTTTTGAACGTATAGTGAGATGAAATAGGAACTTGACTTTGTTATTGAGCATATTCCTTGACTTAGGATGTTAGCAATATTTCATAAAATAGAGGTAATTATATTTGAAACTTATAGTTTTGAAAACATAATCTTGATAAGTTGTATGAACTTGGTGACGAAGCATGATAAGGAGTGTCTAACAACCCTTAAAAGCAAAAAAAAAAAATTGATTCTCTTAGCTAGTCTAAATTTGGGTTTAAGCAAATGGGAAAAAAAAAAAAAAAGAAAGAAAGTTATGTGATGAGTCGAGATGGAGCGTAAAACACAATCACCATAAACACAACCATGAAATGAGATAGAGCAGAAAAAAAAGAGAAAAAATATCCCTAGTTTGCTACCCAGTTTGCAGTAGTAAAGAGAAACAGTTGAGGAAAAAGTTGAGAGGGGAGTTGTACATTACTTGGTTTGATTAGTTTCTTGTTTGCATGGACTGATTGAGAGTAATTGAGGAAAATGATGAAGAGAGATGAATGTACTTAACTCTACTTTTTTTATTTTGTGCTTCCTAAGTCAGTAGAATATGCATTGTTGTTGGTATGCATCATGATGGTGTTCTTGATATGACTTGAGTTTGTTTTGTTAGTGTTGAATTAGTTTGCCCGAGGATGTGCAAAAGCTAAGTATGGGGGAATTTGATAAGAGTGTAATTATATATTTTTTTCTTCCATATTATGTTTTTTGTTGTGTTTTAGCCTAGTTGAGTTGATTAGAGGTTATTTTGTAAGTTTGGCATATTTGGATAGACTTTATGAAAAATTGAGAAAGATTAGGAAATTCCAGATTCCTGGTATTCTAACCAATGCTAGGTTTTTCAGGTTTTTCATGGAGTCAGATTTCTCGATTGCAAAAGTGTTCTTCAAAAAAAAAAAAAAAAAAAAAAAGTAGACGAATCAAGCTTTCTGAAAGGTATATGGGCAAGAATCTGGTTCGTTTGGGCCTCATTAGTTGTTACAAAACCGGACTGGAACCTACTCGCGGAAGGATTCCTGGCTGAATGTTGAGTCTTCGAAGGGCCTAATGGAGTTTAGATATCGAAAGCAGGTGATTCAAAAGCCCAGATTATCTACACATCCGGACTACAATTTTTATGAAGTGACCAAGCCCAAAAAAGTTCTTTTACATTGCAAGATCCTGGTTGCAAGCTGGAGACAAATTCTATTTTCCATATCTGATAAGATTTTGACAATTTTGGAAGTCTATCTTTTAGGAAAGATCTAGGAAAACAATTTCCGTGATTCCTGTGGTAGAATTAAGGAAACACATGTTATTATTGATGAGTTGTTAGGTTAAACAGGAGAGGGGGAGAATAGCAGTAGAGTTTAGTTTTAGTTTTTTTACTTTGACGTAAGATTTGTAGCTGATCTTTCTTCTTCAGTTCAAGGGGATTTTGAAGCCTAAATTCATGTCATTGGTGTAACTTAATTCAATAATGTTCTCAATCTCGTTTTTGGAATCATCTATGTTATTCTGTTTTTATGATTGTGTTTGAGTGATTTAGTAATGGCCTGCTGAATTGTTTAATCGGAATTATCTGTTAGAATTAGGGATTATGATACGTAATTGTCCCTTCTATTCAGTAAGTAACACATGATGATAGGTGATTGGACAAGTTTTCAATCTGTATCTTGAATAACATAACCTAAGTTAAATAATCCGATCTACGTGATTGTTTGCTTGGATTGATTGTTTTCCTAATTCTTAAGGCTGCCATTGAATTAAACCTAGAGGCCATTGAATTAAACTAGAGAGCTTATTCTAGGTTGTTCAAGGGTTAGACTGCTTGAATAGCTTATTTCAGTAGTGACAATTAGGGAAATTTGGGAATAGAAGCTTGTTGTTTCCTAGGGTCAGTAGTTCCACAATAACGAGATAGAATAATGTTACGGTTAGTTCATGTCCAATGCATGTTTAGGTGGATCTTGAACCGAGAACTGGGTGTTTTTAACCTGATGTTTTCTACCATTGGAGATTTGTTTGTTTCACTTTAGTTTGCATTGATTACAACCCCTTTCATTACTGTTCTCATGTTTAATGTTTAGGGTTTTATTTTATTTTGTTTTCATTGTTTTAGAATATAGAATTTAAGCGAAGCATTCCCTGTGGGATCATCCCTTGCTCACCCTATATACAATTTAGTAGTTAGGTTAGTCAGGGTAATTAATTTGGTGCATTCGACACGCTACCAATCATCGATTTGCATTTAGTCAGGGGTTGTGTTTGCTAGATTTCAAACCTATATGGTCTAATAGTATTTATCAAGGGTGTGTTTGCTAGATTTTAAACCTGTTAAATCATTGGTTAAACCGGTTAACCTGTGACCTGGTCGCCTGAACGGGTGACCCCGGGGTTGGGTTTTAAAACCTTGCCTCCAAGACTTGTTTATTGGGGCGAGGTATACCTATTCCAAACCTGGCCTTGGCTGGGTTTGCTATTTAACCTTGTCTCCATGGAAAATTCCTAGGATCTTGGGTAAATATCCAAGCCCCAGGACACCTAGTAAACCTAGGTACCCAGGCCTGCTAGGTAATTTTGCCATCCCTAACCTCTTTCTTCAGTTGGTCACTTGAGTTTGATCCTTGAGGGTAGGAATTAGTATAGAGGTTCAAAAAATGTTTTGTGCAATAACTCACTCCTATCCTTTAAAGAAAAAAAAAAAATCACTAGTAAGAAAAATGTTCATATTCTGTTAAAGATTTTGTCATAACATGGACTTTTTATTTCTGGGCATTAATGTAAATTCATAAGATGGAATGCAAAATTCACAATAGAATAAATAATAAATTGTAGCATAAAATACATATTTTATAAAATACATATTTTCTATTAGTTATCCTTATTAATACACATCTAATATTGTATTTGTATATATATTTGTTTTATAGCTAAATTGCTAAAGTCCATTGCTAATATATAGTTAAACAATTGATAAACTCTGATAAATAAATTAGACACGAGTTTATGAGTGTTTTTAATGTTATTAAAAACGTTCTTACATAGTTAATTTTTATGACATAACTGAAAATCACAGTCCTCCTCGTACATAAGATTCATGTACCATGTTGAATTGGATTAGATTGGTTATGCCACTAATTCATACTGTTATCATGGCTAAATTTATTTGGATTTAATTAATGCACAACATTAGTCCAAACCCATGTCTTCGTAAGTCTTTGTAATTTTATTGAAAGTGTGTTTTACAGAAGATTCCCTGACATAGTGCTGCTTTTATATATGAAGAGCAGGTAAATGAAACGGTTTTCCACAATAGATGATTCTGACTTCTCTATCGTAGCAATTTAAGCCTTGCAGTTTGTTAATACAAGCGCGAACACAATGCAGAACAATAAAAAGATGCCAAAGAGTGTTCTTGGTTTTTACCCTTGCCACTTTGTCTTCTTCCAAATATAATCGATTTGATAATAAAGTCAATTCACAAGAAGCAATAATATATGTTTATTGATCAGTTTCTAGTCCATCTTCCAGCCTCAGCAAACGATGCCACCTTAGCTTTATTGATAATCGATCTTTTTAGTAGCCAAGCACACAAAACAATCCCAATACAACAAGCCACCGCAACCCCTCAAATAACTGCTACTTTCACTCTAAAACTACCATCACTGCCACCATCTTCATTACTCTCCCAAATCCTAACGCCCCCAAAACCAGAATCATTGCCAATTAACCACCCACCACCTTTGATATTAGAGAAGAACTTGTAACCCTCATTCCGCACAATGCAATGTCCAGAAAACACAGTGCCTCCTTCTCTGCCACCACAACGCTCATACAGCTTTTGAAAGCTTTTCCCCACACAAATTTCACAGTCTTCAGGTGACACATCGTGGACACACTAAACAAGACCACAATAAACTTCAGTTGAATTCCCAGATGGGGCCTCGACCTTCCTAGTTGAAAACCTGAGGTGGATGGCCATTTTGATATCAGCTCTAAGTCTCAACATAAGAGTCTCAGCAGTCGGTTCCATGACTTTGGTTTGGTTATGGCAAGACCAATAATTGATAGTGTCAAGATTTGCGTATTGAGAAGAGAAGTAGTGAAGGTAGCAATCATCAAGCCAAGCTGTTACGGCGGTGGCATTTGGGCAGTGAATGGAATGGTTTCTTTGGCCATTTGGGCGCGGAGTGTGCTTGTTGCCAGGATCAAATTGGGGAAGCATTGCATGACAATAAAGAGCCGGTCCAGCCCAATATTAGTGGTTGAGGTTATGAGCCGAGTTTCTGTTAATTGAAGGGTGAGATAATCAATGACGATTTGAATGGATTTGTTGTGGAAGAGAGCATTTTTAGAGGGTGGGGTGCAATTAAAAGATAATACAGACGGGGTTGGAGAAGAACTAGAGAAAGATAAAAGAGATAAAATGAAGAGGGGTAGAGAATAATGAAGAAAGACCATGAAGCTTTTTGTGTGTTTTGGAGACTGTTATGTTCTTGTTGCCATTTACCTGTGCTTGTTTCTGTATTGACTAATAATATCTTTACACAATCTTTTTACACCATTCTCTTACTCCATGATGTGATAGATGATGTGGCGTTGCCACCTCATACGCCACATCAGCAAGTTGCCACGTCACTTTCCTAAACGTAATTTTTTTTTTTCATTTTAGTAACCCTAATTTCCAAAATTAGAATTCCCTAAATTTAAATCTCCCTCCCAAAATTCATCTGCCCTAAATTTGCAAACCAAACCATTAAGCAAAATTCGTTTAGCCCCCACCGCCTAAAATCTCTCCACCTTAAACCTCGTCGTCGCAACTTCGACAGAGTTGCTGCCACAACCGTACACCAAGACACCACCTTCGTCATTTGCATCCACGAGTGGTGCGTTTCACAGTACCTCCAGCTCCGTCTCGCTTTGCCAAAGTCGCTATCGCCGACATATCCAAGCCGTCAAATCGTATAATATTGAATTCTTTCTATTTTATGATCTTTATTTAGGTTTTCCACTGTTTAGGAGAGTACTTTCGTCTCCATTTTGAAGCTTTTTAGGTGGTGATGGCTCTAGTATATATGGCATTCCTTCGTTTCATGGGTGATGAGACATAAACCCATAATTACAGCTACAGTTTGGAGGTTGGGGGAAGTGGGAGGAAACTCATTTGAGAAAGGTACCCAACGAAGCATAAGAGATAGCCACAAGAAGGTTAGAGACAACCATGATATTTTTGTGGATATACTGATTGTTAATTATTCTGTATTTTACAGGGTGCAAATTGTGTTATGTTGCTGCAATGCAATGGTACGTACCCTTCTACATTATCTTCATCATCTTCTGCGTAATTTATCACGTAACCAAATAATTGTCACATTTCATTATGCAATTTTGTGTGTGTCATATGATTTATGAGATAAATATATATATGATATCAAACCTTGGCAGTTGCTGAGTGCGCTAATTGTCAAGGATGTTTTTTGTGGTCCACATCCTTATGAAGAACTTGATACCAGTAGCATCTTCTATGTAAGAACAAATTTCAGTTGTAATTTTTCACCATATATGGTATAAATTTTAAGCTTAAATATAATTATAGTAGTGCTATATCATGTTTCCATGATGTTGCTTCAAAAGGTTACCATGGCATTCATGCTGCCTTCCTCTATCACATCATTCTTGCTCAATTTCTGTTGGTGTGGTTGCCAAAAACCTGAAGTAATTAACCTTTCTTTCTTTTTCTTATTAGTACCTTTTTTATTTCCGATTTCTAGTATTGTTTTATATTGGAACTTAATGGCAATGTATGTAACTTTGTGATTAGGAAACAACACTTGAGAATACAAAAACGCTAGAAATGGCCATTGTGGTAGACTTAGGAGACCAAAAATGATGCGACTGATCGTCAACAGCTCCAAGACGAAGTTGTTGAACCTGAGGTAGTTTCAAAATCTGAAATTCATCCCATTGTTGTTATCAATCAGGAACATTATGTGAGATAATGTGAGATACAAAAACATTTAAGGCTAGTTTTGTTAGTGCAGAATGTTTATGTGTTAGCTGAAGCATAACTAAATCTTATATTCTACATTCTATTTTCATATTTTTCATTGAGAATATTTGTGATGTTTGGCATTATGGTATGCTAATGTGGTCATGGATGATTGTGAAGGTACAATATCTTATGCAATATAGTTTTCATATATATAGTTATGATCTTGGAATTAATTTTGTTGGACCTATACATGCAATTTAATAACTTTTGGCCTTTCACTGTTCTATATTTGACTCTATTGGCAGTTGTTGAAAGGTGTCTGTTTGTTCTTCTATTTTGGTGATATGGTCTAATGATTACAGGGGGAGCCACAAAAGATTCCAAAAGGTGTTCTTCATCAATTATGCCAAAGAAAATAGTTTTTTTTTTTTTTTAATTCTATTAGTGTGTGCATTGTTGATTTAGATTGCTGCATTTTATGCAGAGTCCATGATTTTTCTGCAACTGGTGCAGGTTGGTGGGTGCTAGAAATGAAGCCTAGGCATGTTGTAGTTTTTGCACTAGCAGATTGAGCAGCTGTGCAGGTTGTAGTTTGTTTCTGCAGTTTCCAAGAGTCTTGGGTAGTATGTGCAAGGTGGTGTGTGCTAGAATTGATGTGGTGATTTGGGCAATGGTGTGTATGGAGCTGCAGCGTGATTGCTGCATTTGCTGCAGTTTCTGGCCGAATTCTTCAGTTTGGTTGTCTTGTCACTTGTGTTTGTGTTGCTTTTGTGTATAAGGATTGTATATCCTTGCTTGGTCTTTTTTCTTTGTGTAGTTCGGTCCCTTGGGGCTTGGGCATGTCCAAGGTTCTCGGCTGTAAAACGGAGTCCCCTTTTTAGATTGTAATTCTTTTACTTTTTAATAAAATTACCGGGTTTATCTAAAAATAAAACTTGGATCTTTAATGTTTGCAATTAATGCTTCCCTCCAGCACCAAAAAGAACAAATAGAAAAAAGTAAGTACAATTTGTATTGATGATCATGTGCAAATACATGGAAACCATATTTATTCACATAAAAATAAAATAAAAGTTCATGAAAGATATAACCATAACTGAATTTTTTCTCCAGTTTCATCCTAAACAGGTTCCATCCTAACATCCTAAATAGTAAGTCCAATTAATGCTGCACAGTTGATTTTTTCAAATTCTGCCAAAATGGAGAAATTCTGTAGCTTCGCAAATTCTGCACAAACCGGAGAAAGACCACAGCTTCTCAAATTCTGCACCATAGTATGATGGAAAACGTTTTAGCAATTACCATCTTCCACTATATGTCCATAGGAAATTCTAAGTTATAAATTGAAAAACAAACAGAACAGGGTTTACAAGATTTACAAGATAAATAAAGAAACCAACCCAGGTTCGCCCTTCTCCAGAATACATCAGCTACTTCAGGATTCACAATCATATCTACATACCTAAACAAAGAAAATATCAACCACTTAGAAAAAATAAATAATTAAATGATGAAGTTATACATAGAAAATGTACATGTGAAACCGGCATGAAGACATCCATCAATCTGCAAAGTCCATCACATGAAGAAGAAAAAAATAAGGATAAAAGATGAATTATGCCACCTGGATCCCTTGGCATCAGTCCAATTTAATTACTCCAATTTTACTCCAATCTCCTGGAAGTTGAGCTACAGTTGGCTCTCTTCATAGTGGAGCAAATTGTCCCAAGTGCTTGTACCTTACAATAAAGGATTACGCAAGTTTAGTCAAACCGCAAGACGTCACAAAATTCCTAAAACTTCACTACTTTGTTAAGCTCTACTAGAGATTCCATTTCATTCCTGTGTTATCTCAAAGAAAACCTTTAACATATTAGATTTTATCAAGAAGATAAACTTCAACTATCATGATGTTATTATTCATTAGAACAAAACTTAACTTCATTTTCGTTATATCCAGTGGTATCAGAGCTTAATTACAAACAAATTAGTGTTGCAAATCAAATAAGAACTGAAATACATGAATAAGAAAATAAACTAGGAAATTAGTGGTTACGTACCTTGCAGATGAATGAAATGAGACCAGTGAAATCCATGCTTGTTATCTGTGAAACACACTACCAACACTCCCGATTTGGTTCCTGGAAAACCCTATGAAAAATAATGAATTAAAGTAAGTAAACAAATCGAGAAAACAACAGGATAGTTTTTTATATAGGACTGCGAAAGCAAAATTCAAAGGAAGTGGGAAGGAAATTAATTTCTTTGAATCAGTAAACAAATAGTCAAAAGTCTTAGCATAACTATCTTTATATAAGTTTGGGCAGTGGGAATGATCCAATAGTTGTCTTTTGCGGGTAAAGATGGTCATGATTTGTTAATACTATGATACGATTGGTAATTAATGAACAAAATTATCGGAAATGGAAACAAATCTCAATCATGCATGGTTATTAATGTACACATTCATAAGATTTTTAAAAGATAATTTCCCCAAAAAAAGGGTGGTTGGTTCTCGGTCGTTTTTATCAACTTAGCAAGTTTTATTAAGTAGAAGTCTCTGTAATACCACCAATGTTTGAACTCTTTTGTTATTTCTGGGACCACACCTTGCAGCAGGGAAAATTCCCAATAGTTTATTGTATGGTCTAAAGGGCTGACCCAGTGTAAGGCTTATCTTCAGCTGGCCGAGACCTTTCAGATCGAAGCAAAGGGTGCATAATGATAATGGTAAAACCTGAAACCATGAACACCAACCAGCATTAGGATCAAATTCGAAAGATAAGCATTTTGGAACCGAATTCAACAATGAGTGACAAAACCATAGCCAAAGCAGGAACAAGCTTGCCACAAAAAAAGAATACCAAAAGTGCAAAATAAGGAGATTAAATTAGACAATCAATGCATTCAAGAGATGGAAAAAAAAAAAAATAATAAGACAAGAAGGAGATTACAAGAGCAACTAGGCAATATTATACGATTTGACGACTTGGATACGTCGGTGATAGCGACTCTGGCGAAGTGAGACAGAACTGGAGATACTGTGAAACGCGCCACTTGTGGATGCGAATGACGAAGGTGGTGTCCTGGTGTACTGTTGCGGTAGTAACTCTGGCGAAGTTGCGACAATGAGGTTTAAGGTGGAGAGATTTTAGGTGGCGGGGGCTAAATGGATTTTGCAAAATGGTTTGGTTTGCAAATTTATGAATTTTGGGAGGGAGATTTAAATTTGGGGAATTGTAATTTTGGAAATTAAGGTTACTGAAATAAAATAAAAAATTACATTTAGGGAAGTGACGTGGCAACTTGCCAATGTGGCATATGAGGTGGCAATGTCACGTCAGCTGGCACATCATGGAGTAAGAGAATGGTGTAAAAAAGTTGTATAAATATAGTATTACTCGTTTGTATTTTTTTTTTTTTTGGTTGTGGCAGCCAGATGAGTAGAACCGCAAGACTATTGACTTGACTTGAAGCTTAGTTTGAGAAACATTATATTGTACACGTGGTTCTGCATAATGGGCCTTAAGAGCGATATTTGAACTGTTAGTTGTTATTCCTTGGTTGTATTAAGCTTCTGATGACATTAAACTTATGGTCCATAACGATTATGAAATTTACTTGAATTTTGATTGATTGCAGGAAATCAATTGGTTAACCTCTAATAAATTATAACTAAAAGTGGAAAAATAACCTGCCCGACCTAGCCCGTGACATGCGAAGCAAAATTATGGGTCGGGCCTTACCTGGTCCGCCAACAAGGGTGGGTTAGGTTAGGCCTGCATCTTTGGCCAGAAGGATTGGCCCAGCCCCGCCCGCTAACCCTAACCCGGTAGGTTTTTGTGCGGGCCGGCCTAGGATTTTTTTATTTTTTCTTTTGTGTAATTTTTTTAGCTAACTTTTCAAATATCAATAATTCAATTAAATTAATTTTTTTTGTTAACATTTCAAATATTAATTCAATTTTAATATAATTAAATTGTAATATAAGAAAAATTAGATTTATTAATTTATCAAAAAATAAAATAAGAAATTACAACAATTATTGCCTCGTTAAAAACTTTACCAAGAAAAACTCAATTGGGAAAAAACTTGATAAGGAAAAAAAAGTGCAATAATTGACAGTTAATTTACAAATTATAAAGTTACAATTTATAAAACAATAATTTGAGGGTTGACTAGGAGCTCCCTCATCTGCATCATCTAAATTACAAAATTGAAATTATTCTATTAAAGTATCATCGACAACCTCGTATTGATCCTGATGGCACAATCGTTCTCAATCTTGAAGACATGTGAGGACTTCAATCAATTTTGGTGAAAGTTTAGTCCTCTTATCATTTAAAATTCTTCCACTTGTACTAAATATTTGTTCGGATGAGACGACTGAGACAGAAATTGAGAAAACATACAGGGCAAGTCTTGATAATACCGAAAAAATAAATTTTATGGTTTTCCAATATTCTAAGACATCAAAGTTGACTCTTTGTTGTAGATTTGCTGGTAGTACGTCAGGGGTTCCTAAATGTTGGTGAAGCTCATTACTCTGTAGCTGCATGGAAGGCAGTATATTTGTTGTTGATGTTTCTGAAGAGGAGGCTATGCTTCGAGTTCAGGTCCTCTTTGGCCTATTAAGTGCATTTCAGGAGTCGAAGTCTTTATTTTTGTCTTTTGATGCTACTTTCTCGGGTATTTCGCCTCTTCGTTGGTTCCCATACATGTTTTCATATTGCAAATATACCTCTGCAAGACATTGTCTTATCTCTCCTAGTTGATTGGCATATGCTTCGTCTCATAAATTTTCACTTAACGTGTCTAAACCATTTTTTAAACCCGCTAATTTAATTTTAGGATCAAATATGGCAGCTAAACAAAAAAGAAAATGGAAGGGTTTCCAATATTTTTTAAATTTTAATTTCACTGCCTTTATTGGTCCCACTAAAATTTCATTGTTTTTGTTTTTTTTTTTAAATAAATCAGAAATTTTTATAATTGTATATATTACCAATAGACTAGTAGGATAATACACACCAGAAAGTTTTAAAGTGGATTGATAAAAAAATTTAAGAAAAGAATGAGCTATATGCAAATCATTGTCTACCAAATAATGAGGACTCCTATTATTTGCTACAAAATAACCATTTAAATTTGCATAAGGTAAACATGAATCAAACATGAAATAAGTACTATTCCATCTAGCAGGCATGTCAATGCAAAAGTTCTAAGAGACATATTAGATTTTATACAAGTATCTTAAAATTCAGCATTTCTTCTATTACTACTAGTAATCCAAGCTAAAGAATCCCTAATTTTATCAATATTATTTCTAATTTTTTTCATATCACTTTTCACAATTAAATTAATAATGTGACATGCACAAAGTTGGTGAAAAAACTTCAAATTGTCATAAAAAGGAAAATTTATTTTAAAAAAATCTATAACTCTACTATTAGCACTTGTACTATCTAAAATTAAACCTATTACTTTGTGAACAATATCATAATCTTCTAAAACTTCAACAATTTTATTGTAAATTTGTTGACCACTATGATCCACATCCAATAATCTAAATCCCAATAAAGATTTATTTAATTTATATTTATTATCAAAATAATAATTAGTCACAAAAATATAATCGTGTTTAGCTCTACCACACCAAATATCGGTGGTTAGAGCCACACTAACATGACAACTATATATTTTATTTCTTAATTCTAATTTCATTTTCCCAAACAATTTTATTAAATCATTTCTAGTTGCAGTTTTAAAATAACTTTTAAATCCTGGAAAAAATGAATTTTTAATAATCTTTCAAAATATTTATCTTCAACCATATTAATAGGTTGATCAATTGCAATAGTATATAAAGCTAATTGTTCCCTATATATATCAGAATTATAGCGCCAAGTAGTACCCATGTTAGTTATTTGAGTTTGATTGGTTCTCTATTTCCATGTTGATTCATATGTTTACTAGCATGTCTTTTTAAAGTACTAGTACCATTACCTGCATCAACTTTATAAATATTTCCACAATACTTGCATCTTGCTTTCTTCACTTGAACTCTATTTTCTGTCTCATAAAACTTTTCGAAATGCACCCAAATGTCTTATGTGTGCCTGTCGTCGGTTCCGACTGTAGTTGATGAACCCGCTTCTGCTTGAGATTACAAGGACGACTTCTAGAACCATTGGGAGCTGTAGCAACATGGGGAGGAAGGGGGGAATATTATGAGGTGTATCAAATTCTGAGAATGGGAAAGCGAGACTATTTGAATCTACTGCATTTACATTAGTAAATTCAAGGGGACTAGGATAATTTTCTTCATCATCAAAATTGATGGGATGGAAATATCTATAGTTAAAAAAAAAAAATGGATATAGAAGAAATAAAGAATTAAAGATGGAGAATTGAAAATTGAAAAAACTAATAAAAATTAAAATGAGAGCAAATTGACAACAAATAGATTAAGATATTGCAATAGAGAAAATGAGGGAATTTGGGATGTGAGGAAATATGAGAGTTTAGGCCCTATTTATAGAAAAAAAGGGGACAAGAAAATGACCAAAAAGACCCCTCCAACTGCTATAAAACAGCTAAATTTCAAGGATAAAATGGGTTTTTGCAAAAAAAAATTTAATTTAATTTTTTTTTTTTAAATTTGTCCAACCCGCAGGTCAACTCATCGGGTTGGACGGGTTTTTTTTTTAAATATATATAATCCGTCGGGTCAGCGGGTTGGCCTATGAAGGCCCAGCCCGCCCGACAGGGTATACTCGGGCTGAGTTAACCTTGGTTGAGGTGAGTTGGGTTAGGGTTGACCCGCCTAACCCGACCCATTTGTTCCACCTCTAACTATAACTGTGTGTATTATTATTCAAGCCATAAATACTTACTTGAAATGTGTTCTATTGTTTCAAAATAACGGTTATAGTCTTGCAATATCATATTATTGGATCGGTTGTACTAATAAAAAAATAGAGAAAATCTATAAAACAAATCATCCACAGCTTGACATCTATTTATTTAACTTTAAATTAATAAATGCAATCAAGGGTAACTTTAAATTAACAAATGTAATTGAGGGTTAAATTGAAATGAAATATGAAATAGATCGGCCCATAAACTAAGTAATAAGACTAAAATATAATAAACCAAATGAATTGCGCTTATTTACCATTATGAAGTAAACCCAATAAAGGTGCGTCTGGTTCAGAGAATATTGGATTATTGGAAAGTTAGATTACCTTGAAGAGTATTGGAAATCTTTAGGAAAATGTGTTTAATTAGTTAGAATAAATTGGTGGGTATGTTATATTAATATGTTTGGTTGGGAGGAATAAATTGGTGGGTATGTTATTTAAATTACTAAATTGCCCTCTTTTTAAATATTAATATAATATTATTTTTATTATTAATTTTTAAATAATTTCTCTTAACCCCCAGCATTTCAGATTTAGCTAAAATACCCCCGCTTATATAAAAGTTTACTTTATAACAAAATCACCCCCACCACCACAAGCCATTGCCCGCCACCGCCATCCGCCGCCAGAAGTCGCCTAGAGTCGCCGTGAGTGGCCGAGAGACACTAAGAGGCTCCGATATGCTTATTTCTAGCCATATTGATGGTTGAAAATGCCATATCGAAGTAGATCTAGTTGGAAATGGCTAGATCTATTCTAGCCATTTCCGG